GTTCCTCAGGGGTCACATGGGCTTGGGAGGAGCCCCTGGCTCCTTTCTATTTTTTTAAAAAAAATTTATCTATTATTTTTATTTTATGTGTATGAGTGTTATGCCTGCATGTAAGTAAGTGCACCCATGTCGTGCAATGCCCTCAGAGGACAGAAGAGGCTGTTGGATCCCCTGGAACTGGAGTTACAGACAGTTGTTACCTACCATGTGGGTGCTAGGATTCGAACCTAAGTCTTCTGCAAGAACAGCCAGTGCTCTTAACCGTTGAGCCATCTCTCCAGCCTAGCTCCTTTCTTTTACCAGTTCCATCTATGTGACGATAAGTCAAAGGTCCTGCTCGACCATGGCTGACTTCACTTGGAAGCACGGATGAGATGTTTCCTCTGAGTTGACACTCCTCTTTGTAGACTGGATACTAGTTCAAGTCCATCTCGCGGGGTCTCCATGCCCTTCCTGAACAGGAGGACAGGTGACTCACCGCAGTTACAGGACATTTTGAGAGATGCTCCATAGTCCCTTGGAACTTAGTTGACCTTGGAAGGCAAGGGGCAAAAACTGTCCTCTAAGTCTCTCTGACCAGATTAGTATAGGTCTCCAAGTATGGGGTCTGTTAAACAACTAAGAAAGTTATTTCCACCAGTCTGGTACTTTTAATTACAATGTGCTATGTAGATAAAGCTTGGGCAAAACCCAAATGTTCTCAGATACACTTTGACTAGACATATATTTTGTTCCTTGAACTAGTTGACTAAACTATGACCTTAGAAAATTTAAGATTATGAGACATCCTCCATCAGGGTAGGTGCTGGGAGCTCAGAAGACCGCCAGAGTGTGCTGGGTTCTGGCCTCCCTCTGGCCTCTAACTACCAGAGGGCCTGAGAACCCAGGGGACAGCCTGACAGCCCCAATCCTGCTTCCACGTGGTGGTGAACTGCCCCTAATTGCGCCATACCATCCCCCTACCTGGCATTTGGTGAGGCTCCTCCCAAGGCCCCAGGACAGATCTGGCTTTGGTAGGCTAAGGCTGGGATCCTAGCAGACAGCCTGAGAGGGTAGGTTCAGACCTCCATCAGGGTAGCAGCTGGGAGCTTAGCAGACCACCAGGGAGTACCCGGTTCTGGCCTCCCTCTGGCCTCCAACTACCAGAAGGCCTGAGAACCCAGAAGACAGCCTGACAGCCCCCAGATCCTGCTTCCACGTGGTGGTAAGATTTCCCTATTTTCACCTACCTGGGATTTTGTGAGGCTCCTCTCAAGGCCCCAGGGCAGATCTGCCTTTGGTAGGCTACGGCTGGGATCTCAGCACACCACCAGAGAGTACTGAGTTCTGGCCCCCGACTCTGGCCTCCTTCTGACATAGGGTTGACAATGCATAGGATGCCTGAGAGACCCTGGATCCTGCCTCCATGTGGTGAAGGAAGCTTGAGTGTACCTGACTGGAAGCTGAATTGGGCTTCTGTGGGTAGCCCTGAATAGCTGATCTGAAGCCATCAATTCCCTCCAAAATAAAGCTGAGGGAACCTGAACCCTATACCAACCAGCTTTGCATAACCAATAAAAAAAAGATCTAGGCACCCGGATAAAAAAACCAGAAGCATACTTCAACTTAACTCTCATATCAGAATCATAAACAACAAAAGAAATTCACATGCCAAAATCACAATGAAAGAACAAAATGAAAGCCAAAACACTATGTCCCCACCAAACCCCACCAATCCTGTAGAAGAGTTCTACAAGGAGAACCCCCTAGAGATAACCCAGGACACTGAATTTAAAAGAACAGTCATAAATATAATCAAGGAACACACAAACAGACAAATCAACAAACTAAAAGAAGATAGGGATAAACTTCTGAATGAATTCACAAAAGAGATAGAAACATTGAAGAAAACTTGGGCAGAAATGAAGAAGGAAGTGAAAAACTCAATAAGCCAACTTGAAACAGCAGAAGTTAACTTGAAACAACAGGGGAAAGCCTCACTGCTAGAATGAATGAAATGGAAAACAGAATATCAACACTGGAGGATAAAGTTGAAAAATTGAACCACTCAAGAAAGAGTATGGAAAATAAAAAAAAAAAAAACCCACAGGAATGGAATATGCAAGAAATGTAGGATACTGTTGGGAGCTTCTGTTATGCAAAGTCGAAGCCCCTTCACACCGGACAGCTCATGCAGCTCGGGATTATGTGCTGCGGGCTCCTTTCATAGCGGGGTGTCTTCCTGGCATCTTTCCTGTCTCTCCTTTTGAAGTGTCCGCCACAAATGCCATAACATAAACACGGCCTTTGGCTCTAACAGGTACCATGCCTTCCTGTAATTTTTCCTAGGAGACAGCAGTCTGGTAGAAACCCACTTCCATATGTAAATACAATGCCTCTCAAAGCATCTAACAGCCAAAGCTTTTACCACTACCCCCATGGTATAAATGTCTTAGTCAGAGATTTGGGCTGGAGAGAACTGGGTCGCAGAAAGCTGGGACACA